GAAATATAGTTCTGATTATGATTCTTCAGAATATGAGGTAAATGGTTAATATTTTTCAGATTAAATCTGATATAGCTAATACATTGTATTTGACACTTGGGCATGATGAATCATCAGATGTAACAAACAAGAATTAGCTGATAATATCAGCTAATTCTCGTTTGTTACATCTGATGATTCATCATACCCAAGTGTCAAATACAATGTATCAGCTATATCAGATTTAATCTCTTGTTTATATAGTAATAAATATTAAAGAATGATTATATTTCATTTAGAGTGAAAATATATCAATACCACCCTGTTTTGAAAGTTCTGATAAGCATGTGTATTCTTTGATGGAAATAGAACTTCTTCAAATAAATACTAAACCTCTTTTAGTAAAAGACATTGTATCTCAAATTAGGTCTAATAAAAGTGATATTGAAGACCATGGTGATGTATCATTTGATACTTTTTATAATTTGGATACAGTGGCTAATCTTGAAGACTACCAGGGGGCTTTATTTGAAAATGCTTTTGATGACTTAGATTATCCTCAAAATGTCAAATAGCCTAACGATACCTATTATGAGTTTATGGTGATAGTTAGTAAATATCATTTGTCAAATTTGGCTAGAGATTCTATTATAAGCTTCTTCAACAAGTTTTTTAATTTGGATACTTCACCACTTCCTTTATCAACAAAGGCTGGAAAGGAATTTCTCAATGATTCTACTATTCCTTATATAATATTTAAGGAAATTTCTATAACAACATTTCAAAACGTTAAATATAAGTTTTACTATCAATCATTAATAAAGACTATAAAGTTTTTATTAATGATCGATAGTATTAATCAGTCACTAGTCCTTAAGTATGAAGATAAAAAAGAAATAAGGAATAATGTAGAATATAGAATATTCAGAAAACAGTACAATGGTAATTGGTGAAGGCGAGAAGAATCGGCACTACTTCTTGAGCAACATGTATTGTCACTTATCCTTTATTCTGATATGACAACTCTGGACTATATGAGGAAATTTTTCAGGTATCCCTTGTTTTTATCACTTGGAAACATCCCCAACCATCAAAGAAATAAACCAGAATTCAAGGTATTAATCAGATACCTTCCAATATTGAAGGCCAAGGATACTAAAACAAAAAACTTAGAAGGTTTCTGAAAGTTGCAAAGAGAAGTATTTTATAAGTGTATGACAATTATTCTCAAGCTTATTGCAGAATTACCAGAATTTAATTTTGGTATACGTGGAAACGTGATTACTTTTATTCCCTGAATTTCAATAATTATTGCCGACATGGCTAAATCTAATAAGTTTGCTAACGTTTATCAACCATCATTCTCGAGTCGACCATGTGAAAAATGCTTGGTATTAAAGAATGACTTAAACAAGACTAAATTAATGAGTATAATCCCAAGAACTCCCAATGCTATGAGACAAGCAATAAGTAGTGAAGAAGAATATGATTATTCACTTCATTCTGAAATAAATGCATTTTGGGAGATTGGTTATGTGATTTTAAAAAAAGGGACGAATTTGAAAAAAAAATAATATTCATAAAATTAATTATAAATAATTTTATAAATATTATTATTTTTCAAATTCGTCTCTTTTCTCTACACCAAGCCCAAATTATTGTACTAAAAATATAATAAATATAAAATTTTTTAGAGAGTTTAATA